CCAAAACAAATTCAAAATATACACTAAAAATATTACCTGATTTAAGAATCCAAATACCATCATGAATTCCTTTTAGAAGGTTATCAAAACTCGTGACAAAATTATTATCCATCGTCACAAAATATTGTTCGCCATACTCGTTGAATGTGCTTTTAATGACCGTTATGCTAACAATATCACTCCAAACACCACTGATTTTACAGAACTCATGCATTTTTGCAGAAATTCTTTGTCTAATGCTGTTATCAGAGGCTTTGTAGATAGTGATGTTGCCGGTTGACAACATAACCGACTCAGTGAAAGTGATGTTTAAGGTGGTCGTTGATGAATTGACAACAGCATTGATTGGTGGAATTGTTATGTTTATAAGTGGATTATCATAGCCAGAATCTAAATGGATAAACTCGTAAATCCTAAATGCATGAAAATAAAATTTCATTTAAAAGTTAATATAAGTATACTCAACCCCTAATATGATCAGGTAAAGGTAACGGAATAGTGAGCAAAGACCAAGAAGTATTATTATTTGTATATGGAGAAGCGAGTAGAAGTGTATTATTATTCATAATAGCATTTACACCAAAATAATTTGTAAGAAAAGGTCCCGGTGACTTTAAAGGAATTTGAGAATTGTAATTATCATTATAAGCAAAGATATAATGATAAGTATTATTATCATTATTGTCATAAGCTGTAAGACCTAATATATAACCACAGAATGGCATTATTTTTGCACCCCAACTTTGCTGGTATAGTCCTGTTACATTAGGGTGTTCGTAAATTATATCCATTGTTAGTACTGCACCTACTGAATCGAGAAACATTTTTAGATAGTGCAGTATATTGTTGCTGCTAATGACAGTGACTATACAAAGAATAAATCCATAACATGAATTATCACAAGAAACTGAATTAATTGTCATATTAGTTTGTGTTATATAAATCTGTCTTTCTGAATTATAATTATAAGTATTGTACTGATTGTAGGGTATAAATGATGTGTAAAGCCCGCCAAGTGGAAGTAACAAGTCGCTGTTATATTGTGTATTGTTTGAAACCGCTATATAGCCATTATCAACAGTGGAAATTATCGTGACCAGAGAATAATAATAAGAAGAGAAATAAATGATATAACTAGAGTTATACAAATTTCCAGAATCATCACTATATGTTATAATATTAAAATGTAAATATAAAAACTATATAATTATAACTAATAAAAAATCAAATATTAGGAAATTTATATTACATTGAATATTGCTGCCAACTCCAACGCAGAACTAGCGGGTGAAATTCAAATTTAATGAATCTATTCTTGTTTATATTTAACTGAATTGTACAGTTAATCCAAACACCCAAAGACATTTTACTAGTAATTTACAGATTGAATATTAATAAAATAAAAATATTGAAGATATTTTAAGTATACCTTTGACTATTTCCATTCCAATCGATAACATTCGCCCACTCTTCATAAGTTGTAAGATTAGAAGAATTTGTAGTGTTTACATAAGTTACTAGAATGAACTGTTTTTGTAAAGGATATATCGAAATAGGATTTATAATATTATGCAATATACTTGTGTTGTTCTTTTTAGTATCTTTTAAATATATCAATATATTATTAAGTTTGTTAATTTTATATTCTGTATTATTGAATAAACAATAATTCACAGGATCTAATTTTAAATCGGGATTAATCTCTTTAACTGTTCCATTTAAATGAATAATTCTTATACGTAATTTCTGTTCCAAACTCATCCCACGAAATTTTAAACAATCGATGTTTGATTGTGTTGAATCATTTCGTATAACATGAACGAGAATTGTTCCGTCATTATAAGTTTTAATGTCAGCTACAAGTGGTGGTGTGTCTTGTGTTTCTAATGTACTCTCCGTGTAGTTAAAATACTGTTGTGATTTCGTTAATGTTATGATTAAACAAAAGAATAAATACTGTGCTATAAGTTTATAAGTTATTTTCATAGCGAATTACTTTTATTTAATCCTACGTAAACAAATTGAACTTTAGAAAATCAAATATCGAATAGTTGCATATAAAATTTACTTTTTGCGACACTTGTTACCCTAAATAGACTGACTCCTTTAGCTTGCTTATAAAATAATGTCATTTAAAAATACAATGGACGTTCATTAGTATTTGGATAGATTATATAGTAAAAATTTCGAGAAATTAGCATTTGAGATTGTGAAACATTGATTGCCAAATTCGTTTTTTATTGTTTGATTACACAAAACTACTTTAAACTAAAAAAGTTAATCGAATGTATCACGAATTTGAAAGCGTTTTGTATATGCTGTTCTTAATCTTGCACTTGTACTAAAATTGTTAGTGTTATTGATAATTGTTCTTGAAGTTGTAATTGCAATAACTAAAAAGAAAAAACAGCAATTTATAAAAATAGTCAATGTATTAGCAAGTGTTAAGAAAAATAGTCAATATATTAGCAAAATTATTGTTCCACTATAAATTTAGATGTATGATTTCTAGATTTTTCTATTTTTAATAATTTTTTTATTCGGATTTTTTGACGCTCACATTATTTGATAATAATAAAGTACGGTGTAAAAGTCAAAAATACCCTGCCCCGAATGTATTACCTTCCGATGTAGTACCATTTCTGATATGTATGATATATTGTAAAAGCGCAAATTGGTTCTGGATAGAACTCGTCCGGAGATCTGGTTACATACGGGTTTGGGATTAACTAATCTATACAAATAATCCAAGTTAATCCGAAAATCCTACTAAGAGATAACCCTAGCTTGGAAAGGCTTGAAGGAGACGGTATAACGTGGTCCGAGTTTAGGGTTACTTGGGTAAGTATTTGATTGTTAAAAGTTGGGTCTTTTGATTCTCTTGGTCACGTTATTGGGAAGTCACGTTCGGAAGTCACAATTTAGGTGTGTCAAAATTATTGGTAGGTCGATTTAACAATTACGATATTCGATCAATTGTTTCATCAATTTAAGGGTACTATAAAAAAAGAGGATGCGGTATAACAATTTGGGTACTTTTACTCTAACTAGAAACTGGTATCAACGAAAAAATATCACGAGGACAAGATTTAACAAGAAACGATTTAAACGATTTAAACAAAACAATTTGTAACTATTTAAAGGGAAACTTAATTAGAGATAAACACTTCTATTCAAGACTATTCAAGACTCAGAAGGTTTTTTGAACTCTGAGTTATTTTTTTATTGAAGGAAAATATTCAGTCTGTATATACTTTTCGTTAATACAGTACATGAAGTATACTAATAATTTCTATTAATATTACTATTAACCTTATTTACAAACTATGCGCTTTTATTATTACTTAATCAAATAGTAACCATTATTTTTTTGCTACGAATTTTGGTTACTATGTTATTCTACCTCAATGGGTTAATTTCACAAATTCACAGAAATTCATGAATTTCATGAATTTCGTGAATTTGTGGTACATAATTTACTATCATCATATTTAAGTACTTTATGTCTATTGCAGCTTCAAATTTCATGTTTAACCTTTTAATGAATTTAAAAATTAAATTATTTTACGTTGTCTAAATGAAAATTAATAACGGAAAAGTGCAATAATTTAGCAAGATATTAATGCATATGTATCAAAGGGATGAGGAAAATAAAATAGTTAAAAAGAATTTATTCTTCCGAAGTGCTAAATTCAAGAATTATAATTTTGAAATTGATGAAAGATAAAGAAATTTTATTTATTTAATTAAAACACGTATATTATATGTTCTATAGCGCTAGATTGAAGCTGAATTCCAAATGTAGTCTAAGTGTGTTCTCAAGCACCTCAATCATAGCTAAATCGAAAAATAATTTTTCACTAATTAAAAACTGATCTTCTAGAACACACTGTTAGAGTTTTAGTTTGTGTAAAGGCTGTGTGAGACTAAAGTGATAGCACGAAACCTCTAACAGGTCAGGTCTCTTAAGATCGTAAAATGTATAAAAGCACAGGCTATCTCATTTAATAAAAAGGAGGAGCTCACGTCCTTCTTGATAAAGTAACATAAAACAATGATCTGCGTCCAAACCACGTTAACTATTGGAGCTAAACCGTGCAATGATATCGGCTCTCCTAATATACAATAGTAACAACACCAAGTTGACATGAATTTAAAAACAACTTAATCTAATATTTTTATAAATGTGTTAATCTATTAATGTAACCAACTTTTACTAAAACGAACCTATTTACATAATTTTTCAAAAACTAGCAAATTAATCGCTAATAAGTAAAAATGTTCTACACCTCCAAAAAAAACCCTTCCCTAACCCTAAATATAACCTTAAACCCTAGTCCTAAAGTAAAAAATTTTCGTTTAAAATTTGTATACAAAAACTTATAAAAATTTTATAAAAGTCTAAATAATATTAAAAAAAACACATAATAGGTGCGAAACCACCATAGGTGCGTTTTATAAATGTAATATAGTTAAAGTAATTGTTTTTTTTTTTTTTGTAACCCTTTTGACATGACAGCCTATGGCGACATTTTATTAGACTTTTAGTTAATGAGACCCTTTGAAAAATTAAAAGGTAACCTTACATTAGTGAGTTTACATAAAGAGATTATACATTAAAAGCTTTTGTTGTTAAATTACAGTAGATTTAATTTTTTAACATTATTTGTTTTAAGAAAGAACTTGTAGTTTTTTACAACTCATAGAGACATGAATTCTTATTTTTTTTTTTTTGATTTTATCTTTCCAAATGAAAGACAGAGTTGAATCCGGAAGATTAATATTATCCCAAACCTTATTTGTGCATAACACCCAAATGTTAAAGTAATTTTTTTATAATGTCAACATATTTAAATTATTTCTTATTTGCTTTTTTTCTTTACAATTATCCATTTTTATTTCATAATACATCAAATCGGCTAATATATGACATAAAACATTTATTATATTGTTACTATTGTAAATTGGGAGAGCGATTATTAAGGTCCGGTTTAGCTCCAATAGTTAACGTGGTACAGGTTATAATATCTAATTTCTAATAAATGGGGAATTGATAACGATAGGGTTCTATAAACTATATATATAGGTCGTGTATTATATAAAGGTCGGATTGGTGAGTTAAGGGATGATCGGAATAATTTGATAACTAATTCTAAGGGGCGATGTTATTCTGAATCGTATAACAATAAACTAATTACTTAAAAGTGATCTAAACGTTGATCACTATACTAATAACAAACAATCGTAATGTCCTATAATAATCTAAATAACTGATTCTTTTAACAATCCTACAATATATCGTTACTTGCAATATCTAAATCGTACAATAATCTAAACAATAATATTTCACGTGATGTTACTTTCTATAAAACTCGTCAAGAATAC